AACACAACTCGAAACCTCAAAGTACTCCAACTCATAATTTTAAGCACGAAGGAATCGTCAAAGACTGAGAACGCGTTGACGACAATCTGAAACCCCATCCTCTACTCATCAAAACCCATGCAAAACTACTCATACCGACTCGGTAGCTGATTGAAAAATCAATTGTTTCCCTTCCCGGAGTACGGAAAACAATCTATACGTCGAGGGTCCACAAAGTTATGAGACTGGAGGGTCCCACTGAGACATATTGACTAGAGGGTCATATAGAGTTATAGCCTCGAGTGGCTAATATTTGTTGTATGGGGTATTTTGGGGAACCCACTAAGCATTTATGCTTACAGTGTTATGTGTTATGTGTTATGTGTTTCAGGCACTAGCGAGGATCGCGGGAAGGCGCTGGCATGATCTGTACACATTGGCAGAGGATTGTATTTTGTGATCTTGGGATATGTTTTATTATGATGACGTTTGTTGAACATGAGATTAGAGAATATTAAATGAGTTTTATGTTGTTTGTAAAAGGAAAAATTGTTTTAAATTATCACGTCGTTACAATGTATCGCTATTCTGGGAATCACTTACTTGAGCTCAGCCGATTGCACGCATCACACCCCCTTTTTCTTTAAAAAAAATCTTTTTAGAAATGTGTTTTTGTTTAAAAGGTTACCAACTCCTCATTTTGAGTTCAGTCACACCCGAGAGTGTGTCTGAATTTCTCAAACCAAGGCTCTGATTCCAACTTGTAACGTCCCAAAAATTATAAGGTAAAATTTTCATTTTTAATTCAACTAGAAAACACCAATTATCTTTTTCCAAACATTCAAAAGTATATCATAATAAAACAATTATCAGAGCACAATCTCAAAATCATCAAGTTGCTGAAACATGGGTGGATGTAGGGATGAAAGTGGGTCCAAACCCGGACCCGATGGACCCGGACCCGGAAAACCCGGAACCGGTTAACGGGATTTTATAGAACCGGAAACCGGACCGGTATATAGGAACCGGTTCCGGTTCGGTTCCGGGTATGGTTCCGGGTAAAGTGGGTCTAGAACCGGAAAACCCGGAAACATCAAAGTGGGTAGGTTGGAACCGGATAAAGTGGGTTTAGACCGGAAAAACCCGAAAAAACCGGAATTTTTGGTAATTACTTACAACTTAGTGGGTTGAACTTTGAAAATTTTCATATTGATATCTCCACTTTGGGGGGCTGTAACTTATTGAATACGAAACCACAATTAACAAAATTAGAGTCCAAAATCATGTACAAAGTCTAAAATACACTCTGGAAAAACCCGCATGTCAATCCGAATTTAAACGAATGAGATATACCTGTGTTAATATTTTCACATAATACAAAGTACAAAAACATTTTCAGTTTTGATATCCCGACTTCGGAGGACTGTAAATCATTGAATGTTAAACCAAAAATGACAAAATTATAGTCTAAACTCATGCACAAACTGTAAACTAGAAGTTGAAAAAAAACCACATGTCAATCCGACTTCAAACGAATTAGATATGCATGCTTTAAAACTTTCACCGAATACAAAAAAACTAAAAAACTAAAAACTTTCAGCTTTGGTATCTCAACTTTTGAGGACTGTAAGTCAATGAATATAAAACTAAAAATGAAAAATTTATAGTCTAGAATCATGTACAAACTCTAAACTACATGTTGGAAAAAACCGTATGTCAATTGGAGTTGAAACGAATAAGATATACATCTTGTAAACGTTTCACAAAAAGTGGTTCCGGCCCTAAAAGTGGTTCCGGTTCCAAAAACCGGTTCCGGATTTTAGACCCGGTTTACCCGGACCCAATGGACCCAAACCCGGATTACCCGGAACCCGGATAAAGCCAATTTTTAAACCCGGAACCGGACCCGGTTCTATATATTCCGGTTCTAACGGGTCCGGTTCCGGTTCGGTTCCGGTTCCGGTCCGGTTTTCCGGTTCTAAATCTCATCCCTAGGTGGATGTGCTGCGATAAAGTCGGGTCCTTCCCTTTCAAACCGGAAGTACCTGAAACTATAACCATAAAAGCTGTAAGCACAAAGTTTACCGAGTTCCCCAAAATACCACATACCATACATAAAATTGGTACTAGTGCTTACATTGGGCCCAACCCACCATAATGGGGCTATCCCTCATACAATATGCCCATCCCGATATACCATACAAGAGGCACAGAGACACCTAGCATCCTACATCACATACATTGGGCCTAGCCCTTCCTGATCCATAGGCCTAGCCCATACAAATGGGCCTAACCTGTCATATAATGGGCCTAGTCCAACATACCATGCCAGAGTCACAAAGACAACTAACATAACAGATCCTAGTGGACCGGCATTGGTGCCTTCGACCCACAGAAACAGTGAGGAGAATCACCTCACAGTCAGATGAAAAAGTTGCAATCATATGTTGCTCCAAATACCAACTATGTCGATCACCTTTACAATAAATAATGACCAAAACGCAGAAACCAACTCAACATACTCAAAATACCCTTAGGTCAACTTAATCAAAGTCCAGGTCAAGTCGAAAGTCAAAATTCAAAAGGTCAAAAGTCATTCGCGTTGACTCAGTGGAGTACGACCAGCGTACTCAGCTTATACGCCTTGCATACTTAAGATCCACAATCGGGCCTTTCATCGCGTAAGAGCGGCATACACCAATGTACGCGCAACGTACACTGGTTAACTTCACTTCTTCTTTTGGAAAGCTTATTCCATTAAGCCTTTTCAATCAAAGGCAGATCTAGTCCCGAAATAACATCTTAAGTCATAAAGTTTCCGACTTTATGCTTTGCATGGCTAGGAAGGGCTCAATACCAAAAACCCTAACTTCTTAACTTATTAAGACACCCTAAAACATGCATGGAGGAAAACTAAGGACCAATATTACATTTGTATGGTTCCTAATAGCTTCATAATGGATAAAGTTTCCAACTTTATCCATTAGAATGGTCCAAACAATGAAGATCCGGTCTTTAAGTGTCATATGGACCAAAAGATCAAGGTGAACAAAGTCTGGATCTACAAGCCCTAATGCAACCAACACTTCTATAATGAGCTCCTTCTTCTCCACGATACACCAAGAACACTCCAAAGCACTTAAAAACACATTCTTTTTTATTTACAAAGCTCAAAATAGGGTTAGGGTTTCAAGGGAGGGTGTTGGAGAGATGGATGCTGAGAATGAAATGGGTTTGAGGAAGTTAAGGAGCTTAAATATGGCTCAAACCATGAAAATAGGGTTTGGGCGCTAATCGCGTACGCCCAGCGTACTCAGGGATGCCCAACGTACGCGGCTTAACCCACAACTGCTCTAATTCTAAACGGTCATAACTTCTTCGTTTCAACTCCGATTTTCACGATCCTTACATCTACGGAAAGGTAATGAGAAGCTCTACAACCTTACCAACTCTCCTTTGCCTTAAAACTTAGCAAAATTAAATACAAAATTCATAAAATTCCCGGACTATCACTTTACAATTATACCTATGGGCTCCAAAGCACCAACCGAAGTCTTGGATTACCTAATCTACATTACCCACATCAAAAGGGGTCTAAATCTCTCTTTCCCCCAAGGCTCTAAGCCTTGTGATAACTGATCTTCGGGTCACAGCCCCGAGTTATGAAATGATTTGAAATAGGGTGTTTCATTTTCATAACTTTCTTTGCCCATGAATATATTTCATTTATGATTAGCTATCCATCAAGGATATTCCTCTCATTTTTGTATGCAGTTTGTACTTCGCACACACACTTCCCACCACCGATTTGACTTTGGATGCTAGAATCTTGCAAATGATATTGTAAAGACAACCTATGAGCCTAATAGGTCGATAGTCACCAAGATCTAGTGGTTTTTTGATTTTCGGTATTCAAATGATAAACGAGAAATTGCAACCTCGAGCTATCTATCCATGGGCTTCAAAATCTCACAAAATAAAAAACATCATGTTTAATGGTATCCCAATTATGTTTGAGAGCTTTAAACGTGAAACCGTCGGGGTCTGGTGCTTTTTCACCGCCATAGTTCCAAATAGCAACCTTGGCCTCTTCTATTGTTATAGGAGAATCCAAACTTATGCTTTCATAACTCCCAGAGTTTTTGAAGAGATTGCTTATCAGTTTCGGTCTTTCGGGCCATTTCTAGTGGAATTTCGCGGTAAAAAACCATGCACCTCCCTCTTGATGGCAATCGGATTTAGTGACCATGTACCATTTATTATCACACCTTATAATCATATTCGACCAACTCCAATGTAATCACTCTAATTACACCATTTTTTTGTAAAACTAACACGAAAATTCATTTTAATTTCAACCACACTAAACTAAAAAAAATACATTAAAACATATTTTAATATTTTAAAATATAAAATAATAATTATAAAAACTAAAAAGCAATTAAAATAATACCATTTAAAAAAGGTGTTTTGGTGTTATAATAATGGTCTTATACATAAAGGCCATATAAAAAAGGTTTTTATAATACCATTATAAAAACTTAAAAGCAATTAAAATAATACCATTTAAAAAATAATGATATAGGTCATAGTTCTTCCCAAAAAGTAAATGTCATTTTTGTGGTTGATTGGGCATTTTTAAGCCTCTATAGCCTCTATAACCAAAAAATAGAAGTCGATTGGTGGTGGTTTAGAAGCCACAATATCCCTAAAAAAATCAACCAATATATATGTTGCTGTGTCTAATATAATAATCCATCATTAAACAGCATGAAAACAAACAGAAACCTAACACACTTAAACAATTATCTCAAACTATTTTCCACAAGGCCCACTATGCTTTCCCACCTTCTTCCTACCACCAAACCTCCTTTTTCACCATCACCAATACCATCGTTATCACCATCACCATCACCATCATTATCACTGCCACTGCCTGCACCACCACCACCGGCACAGCCACCGTTGCCCTCTCCTGCTTCAATCTCTTGACTATCACTTCACCACCATCACCACCACTATTACCAAAAAATCCCACCAGGAATCTCTCGAGTCCGATCACCACCACCTGCTCCGGCAGTGGCACTACCTCTTTCTTCCTCCAATCTCGTCCCCATCATTAAACGACGACCCCTTCTACCGCCACTATCACCACCGTCACCCCTTTCCTGCTCCAATCTTTGGACTACCGCTTCACCTGCAACGTCAGTGGCACCACCTCTCTCCTGTTCCGGGGCTAACACTATGCCACCATCCCTTCTACCACCACCGCCACCATAACTAGCAGCCCCAGTGAGATGATCGTCTCCATAGACATCAAAAGCAGCGACACTAAAGTAATCCAGTCTATTTGTTTCACGCCCAAACTCTTTGTTTTTGGAATCCTCACCAACAAAGCTCCTGTTGAAGTCTTTATACTGCATACGTAATCGTCTTGTTGCAAATCCACTGAATCCAGAACTTTGAGGAACTCCATTGAATCCAGAATTTGATATTCTCGTTCTTATACGAATACCTTGATCAACAAAGCCGTAGCTTACGTTCATATCTTCATTTTTAACATCGTGGTCATCTTTATCCCCAGCACCATTAACAAAATATGGGTTTTCGAAGCTCGGATCTAAAAGTAGATCATCCCAGCTGGGAGGAAAAGTTAACACCTCTTTTTCCATTTCTATACCACCGTCATCATCATCAACCGCAATGCTTTCGAGGAAGTCAACGATCATTTGAGCATCCTCTTGGGTGGACGATCTGTTAACTGTTTCACCACTAGCATCTGCAGAAAAAATTTCGCCTTCGTGAACATCAAAAGCTTGAAGATTCAGGTCATGGCTGCTGTTGTCGATCTTTTGAAGACCTTCGTCGGCGTCAGTTGAAATTCGGATACTCTTATTTCTCACTCCTCGTCGACCTCTAAGCCTCGCCATGATTGCGAAGATTTTTAGTTTATTTGTTTCCCTTCTCCTCCGTTATTTATTCCTCTATAGTCGGAGCACTCCGCGTACGGGATGCCTCTTTGACCCACGGACTTCGATCTTACCAAGGAAAGTCACTCGCGCTTTCCTTTTACTTAACTGGATTTTTATACGTACTTTGTTAAAATAAATTAAAATCGTTCAACGTCTTTTGGTGAAGTCGTTAATAAATAGTTTATATACCAATAATGAGAGCTAGGTCATTTGATTTTAATGAGCTGGTATTATATATATATATATATATATATATATATATATATATATATATATATATATATATAGGAAAAGTGAATATACCCTTAATGGTATATAAGCTTAGGTATACAAACTCACCATACCACGTCGTTTTGTATCATATATATAGATTGTAATTGTCTAATGTTCTTATAATTCAACTTCTAATTTGATTTCATTCAAATATTTTTATAAATTTCATATTTATTTTCCTCTTACATAATTTTCATTTTCAACTAGAATATATATAGCCTAATTGATGTTCGTAAAAAAGATTTGATGTAAGAGGAAGATAATAATGAAATTTTGAAAATCTTGAAAGTAAATCAAATTAAGGATTGAAGTTGAAGAACATTATAATAAATATATCAAACAAAACGACATATTGTGGTGAGTTTGGGTACCTAAGCTTATATTCCCTTAAGGGTATATTCATTTTTCCATATATATATATATATATATATATATATATATATATATATATATATATATATATATATACCCACACAAAGCGGCGGCGGCAAATAATTTGTTTCAATCAATAATTGTATATTGTTATTTCGGTTCGGTTACGGTTAACTTTTTTTCACACAGTTAACAACCATCATTTTGCCTGACTTTATATTTGATTAATACTTATTGAAAAATGCTATTATAATATAAATATGTTCAATTTTTTAATTTTTATTATGTGAAATAAACTACTTAGACTTTACCTCATTTTACTATTTTTTATATGTTTCGAGAAATTCTGAATTATTGTTATTAATCAAAACATTCATGAAATAGATGAACTTAAAAGAAAAAACAAATTAAGTTGTGATACAGTGACATGTACAACAATGTTAGGTTTGTTTGTTGTCAAATAACATTAGACTTTTAGATATAAATAATAAGACAATACGAGCATTTTAGAAACATCATTTAAAGACCATACGAGCATTTGAGAAACACCATTTAATTATAACATATAACAAAAAATATACAAAGATAAGTCAAAATATGGAGCGACGGAGCACATAAGTCTTTGACCTTTGAACGAACAAATTGAATGTAAAACAAATATTGCAATAACAAATTTGTTTCACTCCACTGGATGTGTGTACATTAAACAGCAGGTGCCAAACTAAAGTATTAAAGAGTCAAGAAAAACATTACTTTTCAATTTCCACTATTCACACCTTTTATTTGAATTTAACAAAAACTTATGACCAAAAAATCCTCAATTAAACAAATATATGACCTAATTTTTTTTTTTTTTAATTTTGCAGAGCAGTGACCTAGATGATCATTGAAAAAGTAAAACTAATGTTATACGCACACTTACACAGATATAAAATTATTTTCCAATGTAATTATAGCAATTATCATGCATAAATCTTGATCGGGTGAAATCTTTTACATCAAGACAAATTGAAGATAGACCGTCAGTGGAACACCCGGTTTCAGTTATCCAAGCACTGTGAAGTTCAGTAAACCTTGGAAAGGGTTGAACAGTCTGACATCTTTGAGTTCAACTTCACTTCCCTTCATTTGATGCCACACTCTATTTCATGGAAATATCCACTTATCTCGTTATAATCTGGCTTTTGTCGTTAAGATAGAATGAAATATAACTTACTATGTATGCCCTTTATCCTGGAATGCTGGCATCTCCTTCATGTACTTTTCCCTTGAAATGATTATATTTCCTTTGAGAGTACAAAAAAGGATAAGAGAACCCTTTGAAAATAAAACTTAAGCATCAAAGATACACTAATAAGTAAAATTACCATTTAATATCAAATAAAATTAACCCCCTCTCTACCATGACCTCGGTTATTCTTCTATGTAGTTAATAATCAAAACACTCCCACTTGGTTTAAAAGGACCATGCTCAATAAAATCCCTTCTCCAACACAAGAAGACAAAGATGAAAAACCGGGTCCTGCAAAAAGTGAAACAAAATGCTTCATTTGTTATAAATAAAAGTGCATAGGAATTGAATAAAGAAAAGATAACCAAAATTACCTCCATTAAACCAAAGCACAAGCGGTTAGGAAGGATGAATTGATTCAGCTTCAAGACAAAAGTAAACAAAGATTTCGATTTGGCTTCATCAAGGGAGACATAAAGGCTATATTACTTGAAATGGACTGGGCAGTTGTGGCCTAGTAATTTCAGTCTCATAAAGATTGCATTTCAATGGTACAGAGACACGTATGTATTAGAATCATCACAAACAGTAACTTAAAACTTGAACAACCTACTTAAGAATCATATTTTTTGAAAGCAACCAACAATCATTTCTTTACTCACTATTTCCTGAGCTAAATCTTCACCTTCTTCATTTCCCTTCTTTTTTTTTCTTTTTTTTCTTTTTTCTTTTTTTGTGTTTTAGTTGTTCCTACCAAGTGCCAATTGTATATAAGATAAAAATTTATTAACTGTAATACCTTATTTATATTTAACAACATTTAGCCTGCATACCTTCAGCCGATGCCCATAACAACCAATTTCATAAAATGCCTTTGACGTTGAACACACAATCCAACATAACATATAAATCTTGCATAAATAGAAAATCTTGCATAAACATCCAACATGTAAGAAAAAAAACAAAAAGAATGCTCCAAAATTTAAAATGATACAACTTAATTATGGTAGAAAATGGCCATTTACACACGAGAAGAGAATAAAAATCTGAGCAAGTTCAGGCTCAGCCACTAAAAAGAACAGATGTCAACATGGTAAAACTAAATCTAATATGAGAAAAGTAGGAAACCTACCTGCAAATTGAAGAAAAGCACACATCCATTTAACTGTTAATCTGTTACAACCTACCTACAAATCAAAGAAAAGCACACACCAACTCAATTAAAAAGATACAAGTTTTGGATATGTATTCACAACAAAAATCATACGAATTAAATTTGGGGGAAAAAGAACACATGAATCAAAATGTTAAGGAGTAGTATCAGATAAATACATAACTAAAATAGAGACTCAAAGCATGATCTCATTCTTCAAAACTGATTGGGTTGCTTTATAATTAGGCATTAATAAATCACAAATCGAAAATGCTAATTCAAAATTCGAAATACAAGTCTATACGTAGAATTGTATCTTCCATGTTATGAACCGAAGAATTTGAAGAAGGGTTAGCGACACCGGTATTCCTCTAAACAATCTGATAGGATGAACTGTAGTGGTGAAGGTCAGTAAAGGTGGTGACTCTGAAACGATTGTGGTGAACAGATTAGGGTTTTTAAGAGAGGGGAAATAAAGAGAAACGGAAATCAAGATGGGAATTAACTTTGAGAGAGGGCAAGGGAAATCAAGATGGGAATCAAAAGGGATAAAAATAACCTTAAGACATCGATGGTTGTAGGTGTTGGTGTGGTGGTGTAGCCACGGAGGAAAAATCAAACAATTTACCTGTTAAAGGGCGACTTTGGCGAGGGACCATTTTGATGGTGAGTGAAAGCAGATGATGCGGCGTTGGTGGCGATCAATGGCCGTGGTAGTAAATGGAGAGAGTGATGGTGATGGTGTCAAAAATGAATAACAGTGGTGGCATTGTTGTATCGTGGGAAGGAGAAGGGGCGAAAACATCTAGTGTTACAGTGACTGATAGGAAGAGGAAGAGGGTAAGGGATGGTGGTTGTGGTGGTGGCGTTTAGGAGGTGTGTAGAAAGAGAGAAATGGTCGATGGTGCGACTACAATTTGTAAAAGAAAGAGATGATTAGATGAAGCAAAGAGATTGAAAGTGGTTAACGAATGTGAAAGTATTTGGGAGGATGTTGTACATTCTAACTGGTTATGGAGAGTGGTTGGCGTCTGTGAGAGGGGTGAGTAGCATATTCTAGGTTTCAAGTTTTTAAATAAGAAAGAATGTGGACGTGATGGGAATGGTAGAGTCATCATATAGTTTAGAAGAGATGTGAATTCAAAATTCAAAGTTTTGAATCCCAGATTTTATGGTATTAATTTTAGGATGAAGACCTAGTTTTATGATTTGTGAATTCTTATCCGGAAATGTATTCTTATGGAAAAGAGTATACAAGCTTTTGCTGTTTGTATCTTAGGCTAAAATGTTTGGACACTTTAAATTTAATATTATTTTATTGTTGGTTACTTGTACTATCAGTTTAACGATTTGTACGTCTTAAAAATATAATATTATTATATTCAATTTATTTTTAGAAATAGTCAGATTTCTTTTATAAGATAGTATATATATATATATATATATATATATATATATATATATATATATATATATATATATATAGAGACTTAGGTTCATATATAACATATAACTATTGTGTGAATGTATGACACATTCTTAGCCAATCATTTCATAATGGTATATTCGTTACTTAATATATAAATCAATTAATTAACTTAAATGATTATCCTATAATTATGGTAACTAAGATTAACAAGTTATTTGATTTCGAAACCACCAACCAGGGCCGTCCCAATACATGTGCGGCTTGGGCTTAGGCCCAGGCATCAAATTATTAAGGGCATCAAAATAATCCAGAGTATATATAATAATTACCCAAAACATTAGCCCACATATTTGTTATCGGCTTACAGCGTGATTGCGTGAAGCTGGGAAGGCGTTAGATGCATAATCGTCGTCCATCGATCATCAACTCATAGAGAAACCAAACGCATCTGCCTAGAAACTCGTTGGCGTTGCAGTCGATGGGAGAAATCAATGCTACCTTGAATACATCTCCCATAAAAAAAGTAAGAAGAAGTTTCTCTTTTTTCTCATTCCAATCGGCAGTTAACATCGATATTATATAGCAAAAAGCAATTTTGATTTGGGTATGATTCCAGTCCGATTTTCGCTAATGTGATACGCCAAAAATCGATTATGAATTTCTGATTTAGTTATTCATTGATTTGGGTTTGACTCGTTTTTAGTTGCTTTGAAATCCTATTTGGGTGAGTTCATTCGAAACTTGTGTTTATTTAGGCTTTTTTTTTTTTCTGAAATCTGCTTCATCTGATTTTTTTTCTCTACTTCATTACAGGGAAAAACTACTCAAAGTCTGAAAGAGTTGAATCATTCATTCGAAATTTGATGATTCAGAAATCATATTTTTGTTTCTGAAATCATTCGAAACTAGTTGGTTACTTGATTGTTCAGTTTCTCAGAAAACCAAATCCGACTTCTCTAATTGTGTTTGTGCTCGATATTGTTATTTCAGAAATCATATTTAGGTAGGTTTTAATCTCCAAATTTGTTTTAATGTAGTTTTGTTTCAGAAATCTTATTTATTTCTTATATATATGATTTCTTCTCTCAGATTTATAGTTATTGTTTTTTTTGTATCTCATTTCTCTAGCGTTTCTGAAATCAGATTTGGGTGATTTATCTACTGATTTCTCTTAGTTTAAGCTTTGCAATCAGATTTGTATTTGATTATTCTATTGTTTCAGCAATCAAATTTGTATATATACTATTAGTAACCAGATTTTAGATTTTGGTGAGTTTAATTTTGAAATATGTTTATGTTCAATATTTGTTGTCTAAATATTATTTCTAAACTTTTGTGTTATTGTTTATGTTATGTGAAAGAAGATCTATATTTATGATTTTGTTGCTAAAGATCATTTCTAATCAAAGATCTAATTTCTAGAGGCCTTATTTCATAAAATATAGTTATGTTGTATCTTTCATTATTTAGCTTTTATAACTAAATTTGTTAAGTTTTTAATATGCTTCCTCGAAAACAACCAACCATCATGTGCTAAAATTTGAAACTTTTGAAATCATATATTTGAAGTACGATGACTAAAATGATTGAATGTATTATCAATTTTAAGTATTGAAAGTGACTTTTTTAAAAATATTGACTATTCTAAAATAAAAGATTTTTTGATTCATAAAATGCACCAAAACATCATTTTACGTGATTTTTGTAGATTTTGTTTGTTTATAAAAGTTACTGCATTTTTATCTTTATAAATTTTTTATATATATGTTTTATTTATCGTACAGTACATATACAGGGGCATGAAATTTTTTTCTCGCCCCGGGTAGTAAAAAACAATGGACCGGCCCTGCCACCAACTATAAGACCGGTATAGCTTTAGGAGGTTCTTTTAGGGTAAAATTGATTCACACAGATGAGAAGAAATGGAGGAAGAATGACACACACAATACCATCATGGAATTATCAGATTCTGTATTCCACTACCAGAAATCAGAATTACTTACAGTCACATATCACCACCATATGCCACCTCCTAAATGTCATATTCACAACCACGAAGATTCGCCATCAACACCTTCTGCCAATACCCTCTGGTAAGGTTTTACATAACCTTTCGATCATCTTCTTTCTTTCTCTCTTCTTCATCTACGATGAATCCGTAATCTATTTGATCAAAACCTAAGTTTTTTTTATTGTTCCACATAAAAGCCCTAAAATCAACATTATTCTACCGTCCCCCACTTCACTTTTGAAAAAAAATGATTCCAAATAAGTTAATCTTGGAGCCTTGGCAGGTGTTTGAAGTAAAAAATTACAACGTTATTGGAGATGTGAAAATGTGGTGATTTGCAAGTCATTTTTTCCTTTTATTTTGTTGTTGATTTTTCTTCATGCCGACTAACAATTTCTGATGTTATTGTATTCGATAGATTTTGATTTTTGTGGTGTAGATTTTGCTCTAGAATTAATGTGATGGGTCTTATGTTCTTTTTAGAACATTTTAATTCTTAGAAAACGATGTGTTTTTTTTTTCATAACATTCTATCTGTTTGATTTTTTGCCCTAACATGCTCAATGTCTTTGTACTTCCAACATGACACAATGTATCTAGAGATTAAGATGGTGTAGAATGGTAATTTCTATGGCCTGCAATAAGATCTTTTTTTTAATTGAAGGAGTTTATTCAGATTTTGTGTTGGAAATTGTATGTAGTTTATGGGTACGAGTATTGTCTTTAACTATTGTTAATGGGGAGGCACAAGAGATAGTTGTAATATTGTCCTAAACATAGTCCACTTTCTTGTAATTTTTTTTCTACCTTGAGTCCACTTTCTATTAGTCGATGATGTATATTATGCAATCTACAAATTTGTTTGAGTTTTACCCTTTCAAAGAGACCAAGCTCATAGAATATGGGGTAATTAATGAAATTGCATTTTCAGGTTGTATTAAAGCAAACACTAAAAGGTGGGACTGCATTTGAAGGAGGAATTCCCTTTTGTAACCTTTGTAATCTGTTACCACTGATAAAAGCATAAAACCTAAATCCCCCTTGTTGGTGCCTTTAAGAAAAGGAAAGAAGGAAAATCACACATCTGTTGCTTTTGGTGCCTTTAAGGAATGGAAAGAGGGAAAATCACACATCTGCTACTTCTTCCTAGATTCTTTAATTTGTTATTAGTGTAAAAAAAAAACTTTGATATTGTGCCAATTGGAATCACCTGTTTATTCCTTTTTTTATTATTACTAGATTATAACCCGCGTTAAACGCGGGGAAACACAAAAAAATATGAAAGCGTCTATAGATGTTGCTTAATAATTAATAAAAAATTATGTGAAACAAATGAAAACAAACATAAACTTCAAAATCAAAGCAAATTACTTGTCAAACAATAAAAACTAATAAAAAAAGTCTTCAAACTAAAATGTCAAATAATTATGAATGGCTTAAACTTATTCGAGCTTTTTTATTTTTGGGATCTTCAAGGAAGGTGCAGCAACACCATTCAAATGATTCGGTGGTGGTAACAATCTCAATAAGCTGCTTGACTGAAGTAGTTGTTGACGGTAACAATCTCAAATGACTCGATGGTGGTAAGATAGTACATTTGATTTTATCATCAATAATCATCTTAGAGTCCAATGATGAGAACTGTAAAACATAAAAACAATAAACAAAAAGAGCATCATTAATGTAGAAATAAATTAATATGTTACTTGTTTGAGGTTAATTTTTTTTTTTTCAATTGAGCAATGATTGTATTATCAACAATGAACTTTGAGATTTTATAACCATCGACTTTGTTCTTCAAAATTTGAATTTTAAACGCCAACTTTTTATCCAAAAGTACATTCAAAACAGATGGATAAATATCCATATTACCCAACTAAAAATGAACGGTTATAAAAATAAATAGACACAAAATTTAAAAATAGTTTTATGTAAATGAAGTTAATATGGATAACCTCATTAAAATTTTGAAACAACTCTTGCGCAGTTTTTTCAAGAAGTATCTTTGCATCACTATCAAATAACGTAAGTGACACCAAACTGGTAAAGTCTTGTACTCTAATGGTGATTTCAAAACTAAAACCATTGATATAAACAAATTCAGTAATATAAAATAAGAATGTTTAACCGAACATTATAATAATATATATAAAAGAACTATTGAAAACCTTGGAACAACATATATCTCTTTGTTAATGCAAGTTGAAGTGTAACAATAAAAGACTTCTTTAACTTGTCATCCTTTGTTCTCAACACTCTTAGCAACACAATCTAAGAAGTTATTTCCATTCCAATGGAATAAATGATTCCATTCCGTTCCTTAATTCCATTAAACCAAAACGAAATTCTACTTTACTTGTGCTGAGTAAGGGGTAATGACTCCAATATCAGAAGCATGTACACCACTTTGAATCAACCTTCTTGCATGTGCTATAGCAATCTCAGCTTCACCTTCATTCAATATGCTTTCTTCTTCATCCTTCTTTTCTTCCATATCTCACCTAAAAATATAATTATTTTTTTTAGAATTCATAAAATTTATAAGGTTAGATCAAATATCAAATATGCATACCCTGCAATGTCTATGAGAAGAAGAGTAGGTTCAGTGGAAGAAGAAGACTTCTCAACACCTACAAGCTCATATAGGGTATGTCAAACAGGACTTGCATGAGCTTTAGTCTATCATTATTAATTACTTCATTACTCATTATTATTATAACAAATATAATTAATAGATAAATAAGGTTAATAAAAAAAATGTCAGAATTAAATTACCTTATTGTTGTAAAGCTCTTTAGAAGACCAAGTCATTATAAGTTCATGCATGCTATATTGCACAGTCAGCATAGACATGACATCATCTCCATATAATTCTGCAAGGCGTTTAAAAAGAGTGTTTCCTAATCCTTTTTTTTCAGCTTCAACACTTCGAATTGTCGGAGGAAGTTGTAAATGATCCCCTGAAAGTAAGCACCTTGAACCCTAAAAAAACAAAAAAACAAAATCCTTTTTACTTCAATCATCCAATATGTTGCCAATTTTAAAAAAAAAGTTTTGTTTTATTACCTTGAAAAGAGCAATCCAACAAGCAATCTCTAGGCCTAAGCAGCTTCATCAATAATGACTAAATCAAATGAAATTCCATCTAATTTTCTTGATGATGAACCTGTGAGAGTTGCTAGGATGACAAATGAATTTTTAATTACATTTGTCACAACAAGTTGTTGCCTTTTTCCTTCTTCTTTTGAAAGAATCCTATGTTTTTATGGATTTCCCTCTTTGTGTTTTTATCTTTAGCTTTCAACAATTTACTATTTAATACCTTCATTTATTTTCGGATGTCATTGGCAAGAGAACTGTTATCCCCAAAGTAACACCTAACTATAATTAAAATCGTTTAAAATACATTTTTTTATTAAATTAGTGATGATACTTGTAATTTATATTCCATACATGTGCATCAAGCGCACTATCTAATACTTGAGGCAGTGACCTTACAGGATGAACCACTCTCACTAACTTTACTCTAATCATGAAATTAAAAATTGGGACAGAATCAATTAGAATTTTTTTAAAAACAAATAAATTACAATTAGCTAGTGATAAAACAAATCGATTGTGGTTGATGAATAATAACATAGAGTAGCAATCCGATTTCCTTTTTAAAAAAAATCCATTGTTCTATTGAGATAAAACAATTATTAACAAATTCGACAATTACAGTGTGAGAGGCATTGTGACACACTAACAAAGGCAAATGATTTTTACACTCCAGTCACATAATAATGAGATAAAGAGATCTAGAGAGCAGATTAAGCACGTTATGAGATAGAAAATGTAGCTAAAATTGTAAGGTACTTACTATCGGAGAGGGGCAAGACCGCATGAGGCGTAGGAGTAGAGACTAAACCAAAAGACAAAATTGTCATAAAAAAGATGTAGTCAACATACCTTCATTGAACTCCTAGACCATGTGAGGAGATCTAAAAAGCAATGGCCTTTGGTACAAACCATAACTACAACCTGTCATGTTAACATTTGGAACCCAAGGGAGGAGATTAGTGTATGAGTTAGCAAACAAAAATTTAGTATTTTTATCTTGATATTTTTTTGTAGTATTAGTTGTTCTTGATTTTGGAACACAGCACACGCACACATAGAGAGCACACACAAGACAAACAACAGTCATACAGAGCAAGAAGTAGGGACAGATACCAGAGAAGCAGACTTATTTGAATCCTACACCCAAAATCTGTAAACACACACAAAAAAACAACAAATATAGTTAAACAGAAAAATTGATAAAGTATAAACCTATGACAAGAATAAAATAAGTTTTATGTAAAAAAATAAACAGAAAAAAAGATTAACCAACCCGAGGAGATATTTTTGCAACAGATTTTATATCAGCAACAATAGCTCCCTCCCAATCTTTTGTCAATAATTTAGCTTCACCCCTCTAATTAAAGATTTCAAATTAGTCAAATTACATAGCATTGTTAATGAGTGAGAGATTAGAGAGGATAAAGAAGTTAAGAACCTGAATCAAATTTCTAAGGTCTCAACATAATTGCAAAATTAGCTATACATGTTCATGAGAAAAGATAATTGAGAGAAGATAAATTTATTTGAATTTGTATGTTAAAAGCCACACATACAGAGCATATAAGTCTCATAAGAAAGTTGTATTGCCCCTTACTCATTAGAAACATAGCATGAGAGACATACATTTATCTGAATTTGTATGTCAGAATTCAGATAACTCCAATGCTTCATCTTTTTTTTTGTCCACAGTTGTAAGCTTCTTATAGGAGGATAAACATTGGTGGAGGGTCTTGGGTGTTGGGGCTTTAAATGGATATGTACGTTTAAAGAAGAGAATAAAAATAACTCTAATTTTTGCATGTGATTCGAATCCTAACACAAATTAAATGAATCGAGAGGTAGGTTTTTTAAAGCATGAAAGATTTGTTTCTACCATTGCTCATAATGATGACAAATAACTTCTTTCTTATGTTACTGAACTCAAAAAACCGATTCCGATTATGTTCACAATTCAAAACAATTACCATATTCATGTCAACTCTTAGATCTTCAAACCAAGCATCGTTCTCTATCTCCTTGAGCATACTGGCTACATAAATACAGGCTAATCCAATCAGATGTGGTGAATGCACCAGAATTAGATCCATCTTATACATGTCATTCACAAGTCCCCTGATCAACAATTTCATAAAAAAAAAGATCAAGATTGATGTAAAGATGGTCAAACTTCAAAGCAAAATGTTCAACAAAAAGTGAATACCAAGTCAACTGAGTTGCATCACTCATCCCAACATCTTGAACCAATCTGTTTAAGACAAAACTCAAAATATATTTTAAACATCATTTATACACTATATAAAAAAGACAAAAAAAATGAGGTCTTATTGAGTCACCAACACTTCAGGACTGTTAAATTTTGGCCAATTTTCCACAGGGACATCCTTTATAATTAGCAATAAATAGGAAAGGAGCAAAAAAATATAATTTTCATGCCTCCAAAGCTTCAAACTTTAAAAACACCAAAAATATAATTTTCTTGAGGAAAGTTTCTGAAAGAGATAAATTGTTAAAAGATCCAAAATTAATATTCAGAAAACAAGGCACATAAAATAGTTAATTCAAAAGTATAGATGAGGGTTCTACCAATTACAAGCATAATTGTCGAAATTGTACAGTTCACATTCAAATCAAATGTAAGATTTCTCATTTCTCTTCAAGAAAAAACTTAATACCAAATCATTGACTCCTTTCAAATAACTACACACGTAGCAGTTTTCTATAATAAAACCCTAAGATCATATATGAAAAAAGGGTGGTTGTTAGAATAGATATTATTCAAATAATGTGAAACTGTCTAATGTGATTCTTATTTATTATTATTATTATTATTTTAATGATTTTTGGCAGCAACAGATAAATATATAAAAACGAAAAACAAGAAAGCATTCATACTAAGTCGCACCGACTCCATTAATGTATATGAGCAGACTTAACAATGGTTGAAACTGAATGCAGGTAATTGTAAATTGGAGTTTAATTGGGTTTGAAATAAGTTTATTTTGCACAAATACATGGTAATGATAAAAGAAACAAATTCTAGGACCACCAATTCAGAAACTGAAACAACAAGAAACTATAGATAATCTACACTTCTACAGAAAGTTCTGAGTTTTGACAAAGATCAAGAAATATATGTCAGAAAGAAGAGACACCATTTACAGTGATTTTTTTACCTTGACGGTGACTTTGATTACGCAAAAAACTCAAACGCCTCTTCAATTTCCGAAAAATACCATCAATATATACATCTTTTGGTGATGTGAATACATGAAGTTTACAAAAACACAACAGGAACTGCCTGCGATATAAATGAAAGAGACGAACAAAACATAATCACATGGCAAACCCAGAAGTAGAGAAAATAATGTAAAAAAAACAGCCTAAACATGATATAATAAAACCCACCTTTATTGTAACTGACGGTTGTTAATTGTTGATGATGGAAGATTAGGGTTTCGACGATCGCAAATTGGTGATGCAAGAGAAGGGAGATGAATGAATTACAAACCGATGAAACTGTCGACGAATAATTGCGATTAGAAAATGAGAATCGGCAGATAATGCAGAGGGTAACTATGTTTGTGGGTGGATACAGGGAGTCCAAAATGAAGCGGTGTGGCATCCTGTAAAATGCAACGGTACCCATGGATCTTCCTCAATGAATTCACATCAACGCGTGACCGGTGACCCTTGTGCATCAAATTTGGGGATTTTTTTTTTACAGAATTTTTAACATTGAAGAAATTATTCGGTAAGACCAATGTCCATGGACTAATAGCAATTGTTCCAAAAACCGGAATTGAGCAATTGAGATGTCGCTCGACATAATCGCCTGCATTCCCTCAACTCCACTGATTCCGATTCCGATGTCGGCTTCTTGAATCATTCCGACATCGTTAGCTCCATCGCCGATTGCCAATGTCGTCTTTCTGGTTTCCTCTTTAACAAGTCGTGTAACCAATGCCTTTTGTTTTGGTGCTGAACGACAAATGGTCGACGCGGAGAGTTGATGGGGAATCGGGAACGATGGGGTTATGCATATCGGCAGCAGGAAGGAGAAGGAAGGGGTTAGGGTTCATATCTATTGAGTTTCAGGGGAGCTGAGATTGTGTTGATTGTTTAGAGAGAAAACAAAAGAACGAAGGAAAGAACCGTAAGAAGGAAGTTTTATTCGGGAGGCGCGTGTATTATGCTGGGTTAGGATGTCAGCAAAATGATCCTAAGTGAAAGGAGGGAAATACAATCAAGGGTTGATGTTTCTTTAATGAAGAATTTAAGGTTTTGTTTTAGTAATATTTAGAGATTAAGGTTTATACTTTTGAACTTGATTTAATTACTTATGCTTTCTATCCTGCAATAATGTTTTGTTATTCTCCAGAGAATGTAGCTTATCTCTTTGAAGTTTTTTTATTCTTTCAAGAATGTATGTTATTTCTTTAAGGAATTCCTGTTATTCTTCAAGAATGTATCTTATTTCTTCTATTCTCAAAGAATCACTATTATTTCTTTCAAAAAGGTTTACTGATTTTTAATGAATAAATAGGAATATGTAGAATTATTTTTAAATAAATTTAATTTATGAAGAATCAGATTATGTGATACTCATATTCTCGTAGAATGCTATGTGTTTTGTGAAATTGTATTGATACTTATAACGAAAATATTATACTTTTCACTTTGTAATTGGTTGAAAACTCAAAATAAGAATTAAAATTCATTAAAAAATCATAAACTCTCACTTATTCTCAGATAATACATATTTTTGCATAAGGATATATGTATTTTTATAGAATATGTATTCCTAGAGAATATATATTATTAGAGAATATGTTTCCCTCTTTTTTATAGAATGGATATTCTTTCAAGACTCATTTATCTGAATTTTTCAAGAATATCCATATCATATACATATAAATATCATATTCTTTAAGAATATTTATCATAACATGTTGTATAAACTTTTGAGGAACATATACATTTAATTGGTGGTTTTTTTATAACTGCTTTAATTTTTTAAATATTAATTTGGATATTTCATTATTTGATTTTTTTATTATTTACTTTAAATTAGTGGCCTATAATGTAGTATTTTCCATTTGTATCTCTCTTAATTAAATATCATTTAATAAAGGATAATTATATGGCACATGCAATCCCATGTTAATATCATGTAACCTAAGATTACAACCTTTCATTTTATTTAATCCAATGCATATGAATTAGTCATACATTCATACAATAATTGTAATTCACATTTGATCCTAGTCCTATATATATATATATATATATATATATATATATATATATATATATATATATATATATATATATATATACTAGTTTATAACCCGTGGGAACCACGGGTGCGAAATTAATTTTATTTTCATACTAAAATATCGTAATTATTAATCAAATCATATAATTAAATTATTAATAAATACTTATTTTATGTAGTTATGTAAAATTAAAATCATTGATTCAAATAAGTATGTGAAATTAATTTTCAATATATGTTATATAGTTTTTATTTGTGAAAAAAAAACGTTACGATATAATATAATGATATATTAAATTTATTGTAAAAATAAAACAACCCCAATAAGTGAAGTAAATTAAAATTGGTAAATAAATCAAAACTTTAAGTTGTTAAAATAAACGTATATTATAAAAAATAAGAAATTATAAAAGAAAAATTAACAAAATCTTTATTAATAATAAGAAGAAAACATGTTATGAGGAATAAAATTTTACAAACAACTTACAAATTTCTAAAAACTTCTTTATAAACAACATTAGAAGTTTTATTTGTAAGTTTACCATCCTTATCTAAAATTAACAATTTTAATCATTCTCTACTTTGAACTCTAGATAGGGCAACATATAATTGACCATGTGTAAAAACCGGATCTTTCAAAAACAAACCAACCTTAGATAAGGACTGTCCTTGGCTCTTGTTAATTGTCATTGCAAAACAAACAGCTAATGGAAATTGTCTTCTTTGGAATTTGAATGGGATTTTTGTTTCAGATGGTGTTAAGGTCATTCTTGGGATAAATGTCCGATTTCCAATATTACTTCCAGTTATGATAACTGCCTCAATAACACGTTTTCCCAAAGATATCACCTGTAGTCTAGTGCCATTACATAAGCCATTTTTTTTATCAATGTTTCTTAGTAACATAACTGGAGCCCCGACTTTCAAAACTAACTTATGATTAGGCAGACCTGAGACTTTAAGACCATTTAAAACATCAGGTGAGTATAAATTGGCATCAAAGTGATCATGGACAAACTCAAATTCACACAGTTTATCTGAACTTAGATATTCAACTTCATCTCCTGGAAATAATGCACGCAAACGATCATTTATTTTTTCGACAACTTCATTTTTTGGAGCAAGTATTGCTTTTTCTTGAAAGTATTCTGGATTGCTAGAAGCTTCAAGAATTGAAGGATATACAAACTCGATTAACGAACCTATAGGATCCTCAGGATCATTAATCAGAAGATCGTCCGGAATATCAATAATCGCTTCGCCATCATTAAAACCACCAAGTTTCCCTTCTCTTATATCCAAAAGCCATTTTGCAAAATCCATTGTCTGTTAAAAAGCATATGTATCACTTCCAACAGTTAGCCTCATATTCTTGGTAGGTTGATAGACTTTGCATTTTTGCCATAAATATGATGAACTTAATGAAGCATTAACAATGTCTTGTCTACTACCACCTGGAATAACAGGCAGAATTTGTCTAAAATCTCCTCCAAAAACAATTACTTTCCCTCCAAATGGCAAAGTTTCGTTTCTAGGATTATGACACTTGAATATATCTTTCAAAGTTCGATCTAAAGCTTCAAATGCATGCTTGTGAATCATGGGTGCTTCATCCCAAATGATTAATGAGGTTTTTCGTAATAGACTGGCAAGTTCACTATCTGGTGATATGGAACAAATAGAAACCTCAGTAAGAACCAAAGGAATTATAAACCTTGAATGTGTTGTCCTGCCACCGGTTAATAATAAAGAAGCAATCCCACTCGAAGCAACATTTAAAACAATTTTAGCATTACATCTAACTGCGGTCGATAATGTCTTCCAAATATAGGTTTTACCCGTTCCACCATAACCGTAGACAAAGAAAACACCTCCTTAATTATTGTTTATTACAGTCATTATATCATCAAAAATGTTTTGTTGCTCAGATGTTAATGCAATAGAAAGCTGATCAAACTCATTCTTTAAATTTGGTATGTCATAATCTAGCTCCTCGCTAATAAGACGATTGTTTGAAGAGGATACAGAATCAGCATCGGCCAAAGGCATCCTTGTAAAATTTTTGAGACTTGAATTGTTATGAAGTAAAATTTGTTCAATCTCAAACAAAGTCAGGTTCTTAATTTGATCTTCATTAAGTGATAAAATTGAAAGAAAATTGGTATAATATTAACCAATAAATATATAAACAAATGTGTTCTTTTCAATAAATTAATATTGTATATTGATTTAAAAATGTATTTTAATAAATAAGTAAAGAATATTATAGTACCTGGAGATTTTAATCTTTGTTGTTGATTGTAAAGAATTCCATCCGACAAGTATTCCCATGTATTTTCCACACAACATCCGGGCTAGACAAGCTGTGAGATAATAACATGGTGGCGAATAAGAAACGTAAGTAATAACCGGATCCAGACTGACTTGCCTCCTTAATAGCTTCGATGTATTCTTTATCATCATCTAAGAGGCCGAGAGCATAACATGCATCTCTAAATGAAGGACATATTTCACCATTAACCATGCGGATTTCTTCAAATGATTTTGGTCCTTTCACTTTGTTTAAAAGAATTCTTAAGAAATATGCTTCGCCAAGATTAGGTGACACTGAATGAATTCTGCCAATTGAATATCCGACCTCCCTAGGCTTCCAAGTCTTTAAATCAAGCTTCCAAACAAACTTAGTTGGAAATTCAACATAAGTTAGTTCTTTTGCTTGTTTGTAAACTTTGTTGCACTCCATCCAAGATGTGAACATCGACGAAGCAACTGAAGGCTGGTTAAGAACATCATCGATATCATCATCTGCACCATAGACAACTTGTTGTTGATTAGGTAGATGAAAAGGAAGTCTCATCACTGAAGGATGTCTGTAATGAACATCGTATCCATAAATTCGCCAAGATGCTTCATATGCAGAAAGATATCTACAGTCATAGTATTCTTTTATCTCATCGACTGTATCATCTTTATCAGAACCATTGTTATTTTGTACAAAATTAACAGTAGCTCTATCCGGGCCTTTATTAATATATTTGAATAAATACTTGATAGAAGATCCCTGATTGCACCATTCAACATTTATGTGTGCTTGGTATCTTTTCAACAGATATTTGTTGTATGGAACAACATTTCGGTTATCTAACTGGACACCAGATTTTTCTACAAACGATCCATCGTTTTTTCTCCTATATATAGGAAAACCATTCTCATCAATTGAAGTATGTTCAGAGAAATTCTTTGGGAAGTTTTTAGAGCATTTGTTATCCACCATGCAAGGGCAATTGACATTTTGAGCACCACATGGACCATGTATCATAAACTCCTTCACAAGTGAATACAAAGCAGGATCTTGGTGAATACTTGGAATCTTAGCTGAAATAAATTGATGAATGTGTTCCACGGTAGGAAGCTTGTAATCAGGTTGCATGAATAGACAAATATGACTGTGAGGTAACCCGCGCTTTTGAAACTCAATTGTATACACAACTGCATATATCGAAATAAACAAATTTGTAATAAAAAAATTAAATAATGTATGTAATATAACTATATTTTAAATAAAACACAACATTATAATATAATATGGTTACTATGAATAAATAAATTTA